AAGCAGAAGCAAATACTAGATCTAAGACTCTTGAGCTCTTTCTATACTAGTATCTCGGACCTTGATCCTAGACTTGAGCTCTTTCTACACTAGGATCTCGGACCTTGATCCTCCCCTAGAAATGCTTCAAAGCCACTCAGTGGTCTAGAAGTTTCTTTGAGCATCCCAAAGCCTGCCAGTGTGTTGTGAGGTCTCAGGGTACTTAATAAAAGCAATAGTGCAGCAAGCAGGAACTCTTAATTCTTCAAAGTTCCTAAGTGGGAGTAATGGGTGACATTATAGTTAGAAATTACAGATATTACTCAGAATCCTTTTGTGACTTCGTTGTAAACATGGAAACTTCTGGCAAAAGATAATCTAGATTTGATACTAAAGATTATTGAGAACAAGATCAGTTGTCTCATTTAAACTGAACCTTAAGTATTGGCAACAAGTGTAGGAAATTATGCCAATATTATATTTCTAAGTAAGCCTGACTTTTAGCTTTTACTTTAAAAAGAGGATATTATGCCCAGATTTGCAATTTAGCCAACAAATGGAGTAATATGTTTATTAATTAGGATTAGAGTTGGCTGCTTTTTAAAAATCCAAATACAAGTAGCTCAGTCAAGGTGGAGATTGATTTTTCTTTTTGATGAAAAACGTCCAGAGTGAAGAAAAGTCCAACATTGGCATGGTTACTCCACAGCCATCAGGGACTTAGGTTCTTCTCTTTGCTCATCTATTCTTGGCACTACTTGACATCCTCAAGATGTCTGGTGATTCTAGATGACTTCTGGACCTTTAGAAGGTCACATCTTTCACCTTTCATTCTAGCCATCTCTCTGGAAAGAATTTTTAGAATTATACACTCAGTGGCCAGGCACAGTGGCTCCTGCCTATAATCCCAGCACTTTGGGAGGCCAAGGTAGGCAGATCACTTGAGGCCAGGAGTTGGAGACCAGCCTGGCCAACATGGTAAAATCTCATCTCTACCAAAAACTAAAAAAAAAAAAAAAAAATAGCCCTAGTCTGTAGTCCCAGCTACTCAGAAGACTGAGGCAAGACTAAAACTTAAAAAAAAAAAAAAAAAAAAAAAAAAAATTAGCCAAGTCTGTAGTCCCAGCTACTCAGGAGGCTGAGGCAAGAGAATGACTTGAACCCAGGAGGCGGAGGTTGCAGTAAGATGAGATCATGCAACTGCACTCCAGCCTGGGCAGCAGAGCAAGACTCTGAATTAAAAAAAAAAAAGAATTATACACTCATTTCTCCTTCCATCTCATTGGTCTTTCCTAATTGTCAAGGGAGGCTGGAGTTATAACTGGGCAAGTTGCTATTTGCAACAATTAGAAGTTCTGGGCCAGGCGTGGTGGCTCATGCCTATAATAATAGCACTTTGGGAGGCCGAGCTGGGTGGGTCACTTGAGGTAAGGAGTTCAAGACCAGCCTGACCAGCAAGATGAAACTTCGTCTTTACTAAAAATACAAAAATTATCCGGGCATGGTGGCAGGTACCTGTAATCTCAGCTACTCGGAAGGCTGAGGCAGGAGAAGGGCTTGAACCCAGGAGGCAGAGGTTGCAGTAAGCTGAGATCACGCCACTGCATTCCGGCCTCAGCAAAAGAGCAAGACTCTGTCTCAAAAAAAAAAAAAAAAACAAGTTATGTTATTTTAAAAGAAGGGGAGGCTGGGTGTGGTGGCTCACACCTGTAATCCCAGCACTTTGGGAGGCCAAGGCAGGCAGATCACGAAGTCAGGAGATGGAGACCATGCTGGCCAACATGGTGAAATCCCATCTCTACTAAAAATCTAAAAATTAGCTGGATGTGGTGGCATGTGCCTGTCAATCTCAGCTACTTGGGAGACGGAGGCATGAGAATCACTTGAACTCAGGAGGTGAAGGTTGCATTGAGCTGAGATCGTGCCACTGCACTCCAGCCTGGCGACCGAGCGAGACTCTTGTCTCAAAAAAAAAAAAAAAAAAGAAAAAGAAAAAAAGAAAAGAAAAAAAGAAGGGGAGAGGCATCCCTGTAATCTCACTTTGGGAGGTCAAAGCAGGAGGATCAGTTGAGCCCAGAGATTCAAGACCAGCCTGGACAACATAGTGGGAGCTCATCTCTGGAAAAAATTTTAAAAAACTAGCCCAATGTAGTGGCATGTGCCTGTACTCCCAGCTGTTTGGGAGTCTGAGGCAGGAGGATTTCTTGTCCCAGGAGGTCGAGGCTGCAGTGAGCCATGGTCTCACCACTGCCCTCCAGCCTGGGTGACACAGTGAGACCCTGTCTCAAAAGAAAAAGGAGAGGGAGAGTGGATATGTGGATACTGGGCATGCAAACAGGCGCTGCCACAACCTGCTTTGAAGAATATAATATTTATATTAAGAAAATAACATTTTAGTGTCATCGAATCCTTATATAGGACATAAATTTAAAAGATCCCCAAACTGCATTTACCATGTGTCTGATTAATAAAAGCAGTAAATCTCTAGGACAGAGTGTTCTGCTTTGGATGTCTCAGCAGGAGTCATTGGAAGCAACTATTGAGTTTTGTATATTTTTTAAAAACTGAAAAATGACTTCTTCAAAACAACAGGGAAAAAAAGACTCTTTGGGGCCTGGCGTGGTGACTCACGCCTGTAATACCAGTATTTTGGAAGGCCGAGGCGGGTAGATCACCTGAGGTCAGGAGTTTGAGACCAGCCTGGCCAACATGGGGAAACACTGTCTCTACTAAAAATAGAAAAATTAGCTGGGCATGGCGGTGTGCGCCTGTAATCCTAGCTACTCAGGAGGCTGAGGCAGGAGAATGGCTTGAACTCGGGAGGCGGAGGTTGCAGTGAGTCGAGATAGTGCCAGTGCATTCCAGCCTGGGCTACAGAGTGAAACTCCATCTCAAAAAAAAAAAAAAAACCCACTTCAAATTAAATCCTTTTCTCTTTTGGAGATAGGAAGAATCAAGACAACCACAAAAACAATTGAACAGATATTTGTTGAACTAGCAGGAGTAATGTATATTAGAGGATACAAGCTAGGAATAAACATATTTAAAGAAAATGTTCAAGTTGTTTAGGGCTTAGGCCATGCATGGTAGCTCACGCCTATAATCCCAGCACTTTGGGAGGCTGAGGCGGACAGATCACTTGAAGTCAGGAATTCAAGACCAGCCTGGCCAACATGGCGAAACCCTGTCTCTCCAAAAGATACAAAAAAAAATTGCTGGACACCATGCCTGTAATCTCAGCTACTTGGGAGACTGAGGCGCGAGAATTGCTTGAACCCAGGAGGTGGAGCTTACAGTGAGCCAAGATTGCACCACTGCACTCCAGCCTGGGTGACAGAATGAGACTCTGTCTCAAAAAAAAAAAAAGTTGTTTAGGATTTGATGAATCAAGATAGACTAATACAATATATGAAATAGTTATTAATTCCAAATATGTGAGACCTATCCTTGAGAGAAGTATGTGTTAGATATACATCTGCCTATATCCCACCCATAGAAATAAAAAGGGGATGGGGCCAGGCACAGTAGCTCATGCCTGTAATTCCAGCACTTTGGGAGGCAAAGGAGGGAGGATTGCTTGAGCTTGGAAGTTGTTCAGGACCAACCTGGGTAACATAGTGAGACCCTATCTCTACAAGAAATCAAAAACTTAGTCTGGTGTGGTAGAGCAAGCCTACAGTCCCAGCTGCTACTTGGGAGTCTGAGCTGGGAAGATCGCGTTAGTCTGGGAGGCAGAGTTTGCAGCGAGCCGAGATCTCACCACTGCACTCCAGCCTGGGTGACATTGAGACCTTGTCTCAAGTTAAAACACTTAGAGGAAGAAGCAAACAATAGTCTACAACATATACAACTGTAGACCACTATATACATAAATGTGTGAGATGGGAATGTTTCTGCTCTATGAAACCAGATAATTTTTTAAGTGTTCTGTAATCTTTTTTTTTTTTTTTTTGAGATGGAGTCTCGCTCTGTCACCCAGGCTGGAGTGCAGTGGTGCCATCTCAGCTCACTGCAACCTCCGCCTCCCGAGTTCAAACGATTCTTCTGCCTCAGCCTCCTGAGTAGCTGGGATTATAGGTGTGTGCCACCACACCCAGCTAATTTTTGTATTTTCAGTAGAGACAGGGTTTCACCATGTTGGCCAGGCTGGTCTCAAAACTCCTGACCACCTCGGCCTCCCAAGCCACCGCGCCTGGCCTCTGTAATCTTATTTAATATCTACTATTCTCATGGTACCAGTTATATATTTAGTGAATGCCTCATATTTACGATGCACTTTATAAAGGAAATTTATTTACAATTTGCCACTTAGGTGAAAAAGTCTGGATTTTGGCTTCTTAATAGCTATGAATTTCAGATCTGGGGAAAACCTAGCCTTGTGTTTTTCCCCCCTTTTCCTTTCATCAGTACTTATCAGCAACCAAACACTAAGTGTCTGTTGACTTTTCTCCAGCTGATAGAAAACAAAAAACTATAGAGACTCCCTGTGAAAAGAGGGCCAGTTGTGCTGGCCTGGGGCCAGGCTACATTCTCTGTGACCTTGCCTTTTCAATCTGAGTTCTCCATAGGGCAACAGTTCCAAATAACCCATGTGGCTATGGCAGTAAGCATAGGGAGTGCTCATGAACCAGCTAACGTAACAAGTTCTGTTAGCTGGCCTTTGAGCTCAGTGAGCCATCCTTTGAGCCTTTTACGATACCGCACTTTCAGGCATCCTTTTGGGAAGATCTAATGGATCAGGGACCATTCTCTATCTTATAGCAGTGGAAATGTTTTTGGCACTGTGGTATTAAATAACTACTCATTTGAACATATTATGCAATGACTTAGCCTTTCCCATCATTATTAGTTCCCATTGAAGCTGTTGTGCTCAGTTTAAGTTTCCAGTAGGTACTATGAAAGAAAATGGAAATCTCACAAATTGTACTTTTAAAAATATTTTGTTCAGTGCTAATACCGTTATCTCATATTTTGGCTTTTGTGTCTCCCACTATATACCCCCATTTCCCCTGTGCTTTCAGGTGAAGGTCTCCCACAGGTGTATTACTTTGGACCATGTGGGAAATATAATGCCATGGTGCTGGAGCTCCTTGGCCCTAGCTTGGAGGACTTGTTTGACCTCTGTGACCGAACATTTACTTTGAAGACGGTGTTAATGATAGCCATTCAGTTGGTAAGTTGGAATTGCTATCCTGGAAGAGAATAGGCTGGTTCCTCAGCCACATCCTTGTGGGCCTTTTGGTGATTTACTAACCATAGCGACACATCAAGAATTAGCACTCACAGGCTTGATGGCATTCTGGGAAGCTGGCTGGGGCAAAAAGGGTAAATTCAGAGAAGTCACACTACATCTGCAATTTGCTCTATTTTAAGACTTTGCACCTTGGAGCAATGCTCTGCCCTTAACTGAAGAGGAAGTATATAATTTAGATTAGGGGAAAAGAGGACGATTAGATAGAGTTGTAAAAATGTGAATAATTTTTTTGATTTTGTTTTGTTTTGTTTTTGGTTTTTGAGACAGGGTCTCTGTCACCCAGGCTAGAGTGCAGTAGCATGATCATAGCTCACTGAAACCTCAAACTCCTAGGCTCAAGCGATTCTCCTGCCTCAGCTTCTGCAGCAGTTAGAACTGCAGGTGCCATGCCAGCTCATTTTTTTAAAAAATGTTGTAGAGACAGGCTCCCACTATGTTGCCCAGGCTGGTCTAAACTCCTGGTCTCAACTGGTCCTCCCACCTCGGCCTCCCAATGTGCTAGGATTACAGGCATGAACCACTGCACCCAGCCTATTTATGTGTTTTAAATATAGCTGTAAGGTTTTGTCATGTCCTATCCCTCCCTTCAGTGTTGCAACCAAGAAAATATTGACGATATAACCCATTGCACTAACACTCAGATTCACAATTGTGTGACCAGGAATTTGCGGTAGTTCTCTGGCCTCCAGTTCTCTGAGAGACAAATTTCAGCTGAAGAGGCAGCTCTTGTAGCGCCTACCAAATTACACCCCAGTACCAGTTTAATAAGCAGTTCCTATAGTTCCTTTGAGAAGTTTGACACAAGCCCTTTGGGGAAGGATGCAAATACATCTTCATTTGTTTGAGATGGTAATGGTCTCTCCCACTGTCCTATAAAAATTTGGAAATGTGAGATAATTGACTGACTTTTGAGCCCCAAATTCAAATATCTGAGCTTCTCTTTCTCTACTAAAAGTTAGTAGAAAAGGACTGGGCACGGTGGTTCATGCCTGTAATCCCAGCACTTTGGGAGGCTGAGGCGGGCAGATCACGAGGTCAGGAGGTTGAGACCATCCTGGCTAACACGATGAAACCCCATCTCTACTAAAATATAAAAAATCAGTCAGGCATGGTGGCGGGCACCTATAGTCCCAGCAACTCGGCGGGCTGAGGCAGAAAAATGGTGTGAACCTGAGAGGCGGAGCTTGCAGTGAGCCGAGATCACACCACTGCGCTCCAGCCTGGGAGACAGAGTGAGACTCCGTCTCCAAAAAAAAAAAAAAAAAAAAAAGTTACTAGAAAAGCTTAGTAGATAGAAATACTTAATAAAATTTGAAATACTCTTATGATTATTATTTTTTATTATATTTAACTTAACATAAAAACTGTAGCCCTGGCTGGCATGGTGGCTTATGTCTATAATCCCAGGACTTTGGGAGGCTGAGGTGGGAGGATCACTTGAGGCCAGGAGTTTGAGACCAGCCTAGGCAACATAGACCCCATCTCTACAAAAATAATCTTAAAATAAATTTAAAACAACAACAAGAATGAACTGTTTTGGTGAGGCACGGTGGCTCATGCCTGTAATCCTAGCACTTTGGGAGGTTGAGGAGGGCGGATCACCCAAGGTCAGGAGTTTGAGACCAGAGTGGCCAACATGGTGAAACCCTGTCTCTACTAAAAATACAAAAATTAGCCAGGCATGGTGGCACGTGCCTATAATCCCAGCTACCTGGGAGGCTGAGGCACGAGAATTGCTGGAACCCAGGAGGCTGAGGCTGCACTCCACCCTGGGTGACAGAGCAAGACTCCATCTCAAAAAATAATAATAATTATAATAACAACAATAATAATAATGAACTGTTTCCCTGTCTCTGCTGTTAATAAGCTATGTGATGTCAGTCCAGTATTAACTTCTCTGGGCCTCACAACATCGAAAGTTGGGTTGGGTAGTCTTGTCCAACTAAGGATAGGAAGATGTGGGCAGAAGGTGAATGTGGCAGTGGCATTTGTCTCAAAGGTCACCAACAGTTTGATATCGTACCTGGGAATACTTCTTTTCTCTCAAATGCTTAATTTTCTGAATTAGCATATAAACAACTAATTTCATTCGTCATTTGCAAATTGTGACATTGTGAGGTAAAATTGAGCTATCATTTTAGCAGACCTGTACTATTTCACTTTCTTTTCCTAGTCTTGATATTTGTTATGAACATATTTATAACAAAATATTTTTTTGTTTACAAGTCAGTGAAGTGACTCTGGGTGATGAAAGGAGATGAATTTTATGTTATTTCAGTAATTAAAACCTTGGTCTCATTAAAGAAAATGTTTTGATGTATTTTCCTGATATACTTCTTTAGAGTATTTCCATCATTTGTTTCTCTTTTAGCTTTCTCGAATGGAGTATGTACACTCAAAGAACCTCATTTACCGAGATGTCAAGCCAGAGAACTTCCTGATTGGTCGACAAGGCAATAAGAAAGAACATGTTATACACATTATAGACTTTGGACTGGCCAAGGAATACATTGACCCCGAAACCAAAAAACACATACCTTATAGGGAACACAAAAGTTTAACTGGAACTGCAAGATATATGTCTATCAACACGCATCTTGGCAAAGGTGTGTTTTTTTCTGTTCCATGAAAGGGGCAAGTCATTAGAACAGTTTATTATTCCTGTAACACTTATATCGTCATTGTGCATTACAACTTGTGGTTTTTATTGCTTCACAACGGTAAGTGATTTTTATATATGAGAAGTTGAGATGGTAAGTTAATGACTTTTCAAAGAATCCTATAGACTATGCATAGGTTCTTAATTCTTTACACTGTACTTCCAAATGTTTAGTTTCTGAGCAGTGTGAGTACTTGAATTATTGTAAAAAGAGGATAGCATTTTAGTGAGTTTAGTAATGAATTTGGTATTTACTTATGTATGACTCCATTTATGACAGTCCTGAAAAGGACATCAGGCTGGGTCAGCTGTGGGGAAGAGTGCCTCACTAAAAATGGAGTAGACTTCTGTTCACTGCTCATAGTTCAGCACAGAAGTCTTCAAGGAAGAGCTTCTGTCTTATTCAGTGAAAATATGCTTGGTTTCCCATTAGTTTTGCATTTTACTCAGGATAAACAACTTGCACAAATGTTGTTAAATGCTCTAATCAAGGCAGAAGACCTTACCTGTGAGGAACTATTCCAAGGGGGAGAGTATTTGTCAGAGAAGCCTAAGGAACAGTGGGGAGACCAAGCAGGCAGAGCCCTGGGCTTTTCTGCTTCAAAAAAAGCCTCCCTTTTTTATGTTTCATATATTGGGCTTCCATGGAGGACTCTATTTGGAGAAAAGACTCCTAGGTGATTGAAAAAAACATGTTTGAAAATCAACATTCTAGAGAGTACACAAGCAGAATATTCTCAGATTCCATACTCCTAGACAGAAATAATTATAAAATATTTTTAAATATTAATGAACTACTGCACACTAAGATGTATTTATTTCATTCATTTATTTTTTCGAGATGGAGTCTCACTCTATCACCCAGGCTGGAGTGCAGTAGTGCAATCTCAGCCCACTGCAACTTCTGCCTCCCGGGTTCAAGGAATTCTCCTCCCTTAGCCTCCCGAGTAGCTGGGATTATAGGCATGTACCACCACGCCTGGCTAATTTTTGTATTTTTAGTAGAGCCGGGATTTCACCGTGTTAGCCAGGATGGTCTTGAACTCCTGACCTCAAGTGATCCACCTGCCTTGACCTCCCAAAGTGCTGGGATTACAGGTGTGAGCCACTGTGCCCAGCATATTTATTTTATTTTTAGAGACAGAATCTCACTCTCACTCAGGCTGGAGTGCAGCAGTGTGATCATAGCTCACTATAACCTCAATCACCTGAGCTGGAGAGATCTTTCTCAGCCTCCTCAGTAGCTAGGGCTATCGGCGCATGCCATCATGTCCAGCTAACTTTTAAATTTTTTTATAGAGACAGAGTCTCACTATGTTCCCCAGGCTGGTCTCAAACTTCTGGTTTCAAGAGATCCTGTTGCCTCAGCCTCCCAGCGCACTGGGATTATAGATGAGAGCCACCGTGCCTGGCCTGCACTTTAATAAGTATTTTAAAGACTAATGTAATATCTACTAAGTAGCCTCATTGAGTAAACTACAGAAGTTATTCACCTGAGGAATTCAAGTGATAGTGAAGAGTAAAAAATGGCATTACAAAGTAGTATGATACAATTTGATTTGAAATTATGATGTTATCAGGATTTTTTCAGTAACCACATGGAAATCCTCACTTAAATAAATGTAATACTTTAAAATTAGACTAGAAGTCCTCTGGCACTTATTATCAGCGTTACTGTGGACAAGTTACTTAATCTCACTGAAACTCCTCTGTAAAATGAGGGTAAAGCTTCACAGGGAATTTTTTTTTTTTTTTTTTTTTTTTTTTTTTTGAGGCGGGGTGTAGCTCTGTCGCCCAGGCTGGAGTGCAGTGGCCGGATCTCAGCTCACTGCAAGCTCCGCCTCCCGGGTTCACGCCATTCTCCGGCCTCAGCCTCCCGAGTAGCTGGGACTACAGGCGCCCGCCACCTCGCCCGGCTAGTTTTTTGTATTTTTTTTAGTAGAGACGGGGTTTCACCGTGTTAACCAGGATGGTCTCGATCTCTTGACCTCGTGATCCGCCCGTCTCGGCCTCCCAAAGTGCTGGGATTACAGGCTTGAGCCACCGCGCCTGGCCTCACAGGGATATTTTAAGGGTTGAATGGATAATATATGTGAAAGCACCATGTCTGACTTAGGTCTCTTGCATAGTGCTTAGCATCCCCTTCTTCCTTCATAATGACAAGTACTTTTCCATTTTACAAGGAAACAAAAACTGTATCTTAAATAATAAACTTATGATTGTGTGGTTTAACTGACAAACTCTAGAAGTTGTTTTAATGCCCGCTTCCTGGGCTCAGCCATTCGTGTACTAATTTTATTGTTCTTAAGAGGAAAGACAAGAACAGACAAGGGATGGGTGTTCATGTTATGTTTGTATAAGATAAAGAGTAGTGGTTAAGAAAAAGTATGCGAATCCTGGCGCTCTTACTTAATAGCTATGTAATTTTGATCCAATAACCTTCTTCCCTTAGCCTTGGTTATCTCATGTATAAAATGGATATGATATTTATGCCTGTAATATATGGTTCTATGAGATAATGTATGTAAAATGTTTAGCATAATGCCTTATAATAGTAAGATCAGTCCATATTGTAATTATCCTGATTGTTATTTATTCAACAAAATCTGTTTTAAGCATCTACTGTGCATCAGACTGTTTCGTCTCTTGGTGTACTGCCATTCCTGCCGGAACTTTTGAGTTTACCCCCAGACTTGGCTTACTGAGTACCAGAGTTTTTCAGGTCAAATCTAACCTGTCATCATATTTTGTATTCTCCACATTACAGTGAATACATACAGAAAGTTGTCACTGCTTTTTAAACCCTTTCCCATGCCTCAAACGATAGAGGTCTTTGTAGGTACTCTAATGCTATTGGTTTTTAAATGTGTTGCATTTTTTGTGTTGCAATGAAGAAGGGACTGGGATATGTGTTTTCAAATGGCTTTGGGAAAATCACTTCTTAGTTTTATGGAGGAGGAGAACAAGAGAAGAATCCTCCTAAACCTTACATTAGTTGCCACATCAGAGTAGCCACACTTAGTCCATTTTGTGTTGCTATAAAGGAATACCTCAGGCTGGGTCATTTTATAAAGAAAAGACATTTAAATTTGACTTAGAGTTCTGCAGGCTGTACAAGAAGCATGGCACTGGCATCTGCATCTGGTGAGGGCCTCAGGGGCCTCATGCTGCTTCCACTCATGGTATAAGGGGAAGGGGAGCAGCCAGCATGTGCAGATCACATGGGGAAGGGGGTGCTAGGCTCTTCTCACCAACCTGCTTTCTTGGGAACTCATCCCTAAGGGAGGTCATTAATCAATTAATGAGGGATCTACCCCCATGACCCAGACACCTTCCATTTGGCCCAACTTTGAATATTGGGATCAAATTTCAATGTGAGGTTTGTGTGTTAGGGGGTCCGGGGGAAGACAGAAATCCATTACCATAGCAGCCACCTTTCCACTGATTAAGCTGTGACTGAGACAGCCCAATTTATATTATTTAATGGTTGAAATTAGGGTGAGAACACTGGGTTGCCTTGCCCCCTGCCTTCAACAAATATATTTAACCTAAAATCAGGGATGTTATGCATGTAAACCAAGCACATCTTTCTGATTGGATGAAAGCACACCTTTCAACCAATCAGAAGAACTGAAGAATTTTGTGTCCTGCTGGTCTCACTGGTATTGGAAACCTTTCTTCTTTGAAAATGAAAATTTTCTGCATGAAGAAATGAGGGCATGTAGAAATAATGAATTGGACAAGGGTGGAGTGTTCAAAGTTGTATGAAAATAAAGCATGGCTGGTGATTTAGGTACCCTTATTTTAGGTACCTTATTTAGGTACCCTTATTTAAGTACCCTTCCTGATTTAGGAACCCTTCTTTTTCCTATTGTCCCATATTCTACAGTTCTTTTTCATAGTTCTCAGGATTTGAAAAGTTACTTTATTACTTATTCCAGTGAGTTTAAACAATTTTTTAATCTCATAATTTATTTTGCTGTGAAATCTTTTTTCTGTAGGCCTGATCAATATTGAAAATATGGAGAGTTTTGCCCTCTAGTGCTCAACTATCTAAAATTCGAACATTTGTCCAGTGAATTTTTAATAGCCAAGGGGCCTCTTGTTGCAGGAAGTGGATATAAAAATGGAGAGGCGATAAGTGGGTGTGATATAGTATGAGAAACTGCAGAGTCGTTTTTCTATCTGCCCTGCTTTGTGGGAGGCCTCCACTCACTCTCCTTGTTCTTTTCTCTTTTTCATTTGTGCATCTTTAGATTCTGTCAACAAACTGTTTTTGTATAACTACTTTTTTGTTTTCAATTGTGAATATTTTATTACAAACCAGACAAGTCATGTAGACAAAGGATTCTGATGGTTGTGCTGTTTTATTTCATTCTTTTTAAGATTGTTTCAATTGATGTATACCAACTCGGTTTTATGTTATTTATCTCTGTCAGGGTACCCCTCCTTTCCATTAGTAACCATCTTTTTACAACCTCCATCAAATCGCTATTTTAAAAGTTGCTTTTTCTTTCTTCATCTACCCTGTAGACTACTATTCTTTTTCATGCAAATTTCCTATAATTTAAGGCAGTAGTTAAACATGTTGCACTTCTGTATTTTGAGTTAGCTGAGTGGCTTTCTCTGGCTCTCTTGGGTTTTACTTTCTATACAAAGAAAGCACAGCCAAGTTGAAGGTAGCCTCTTAGTCTTGCTTCTGTCGTTTATTCTGATAAAGCCCTAAACTTGATTCTGAAAAATAAACACATAAAATGTCTGAGATGGGCCAGGTGTGGTGGCTCACACCTGTAGTCCCAGCACTTTGGGAGGCCAAGGCTGGTTGATTGCTTGATTGGCCCAGGAGTTCCAGACCAGCCTGGGCAACATGGCAAAACCCAGTCTCTATAAAAAATACAAAAAGTAGCCGGGGTGATAGTAGTGGTGGTGCATGCCTGTAGTCCCAGCTAGTCAGGAAGCTGAGGTGGGAGGATCACTTGAGCCCAGGAGGGCGAGGCTGCAGTGTCCAAGATCATGCTACTGCACTCTAGCCTAGGCAACAGAGTGAGACCTTGTCTCCAAAAAGAAATAAAAAAATAAAAAAAATGTCTGAGACTAAACCATAATTGGCAAATTCAAAATGAATGCATGGGCTGGGTGCGGTGGCTTACATGAGTAATCCCACAGTGTGGGAGGCTGATATATTAGGTTTGCTTGAGGCCAGTAGTTTGAGACCAGCCATAACAAGACCCCATCTTCACAAAAAATAAAAATAAATAAATTAGCCAAGTGTCGTTCCACACACTTAGATTCCTAGCTACTCAGCTGAGGCAGAAGGGTCCCTTGGGCTCAGGAATTTGAGGCTGCAGTGAGCCATGATCACAACACTGCACTCCAGCCTAGGCAACAGAGCAAGGATTCTGTCTTTAAGAAAGAAGAAAAAAGAAACAAAGGCATGTACTACTTAGATTCTGTCTAACAAAGAATGTGTAGGATGTTTTCTGAGATGAAGCTGCAGTTTTGTGTTAACTATTTTGCAGTTCTTTGTCATCTTCACCTTCCCAATTAAAAGGAGAGAAAAACCCAGCAACTTGTTTTAGATACGCTTCCAGAATGCAGGGACTTTGATTTTTTTGTTCTATTTTGTTTTGGGATGAGGTCTCGTTATGTTGCCCAGGCTTATCTTGAACTCCTGGGCCGTAGCGATCCTCTCACTTCAGCCTCTTAAGTAGCTGGGACTACAGATGTGTACAGCCTTACCCATCTAATTTTGAGGGGACCTTAGTAATAAATTTTAAAATGTTTTTGAGGTTATAGGACATGGTACAAATTGAATGGGAGCCAAGAGAATATGTACTGATGTTCATTGATATGAAACTGAATTTTAAGTGTTAATTTTTATGATGAATAAAAAGCACTTGGCATGTTTGCTAGGCATTTTGCAGCTTGTATCTTTGTAGGCCTAGCCAGAAGGGACTGTTTTAACAGTTTGGGTTGCTTTATCTGCTACTCACTCCGTGGTGGTAACTGAAGGGTAATTGTAGCCCATATACTGGAAATAACATTTCGTTAAAATTTTATCACTTTCAGGAAGGTGACAGCATTGAGTGAGGGATGGTAATTCACTGTTTAGTGATTTGGGCTTGGTTTTAATTCAGGATTTGCTCTTTTCTCTTGATATTTACTTACTATCAACAGATGTAGACAAAGGAAGTACACATTGGTTTGAGGTTTTGATCTAAAATACTATCCTTGGTTTAAATATACAAGTAATGAGTAAGCAGAGCCTTTCCAGAGCCAAAGGGTTTCTGAAGGGATTACTTGGTTTTGAACCTTTTTCTGCTGTAATAACTGCAAACATAATGTGTGATCTGTCTTCCCTTTTAGAGCAAAGCCGGAGAGATGATTTGGAAGCCCTAGGCCATATGTTCATGTATTTCCTTCGAGGCAGCCTTCCCTGGCAAGGACTCAAGGTATCCTTGAAAGTGTTCAGTGGAGGGCTTTGTTGCTATGCTCAGTTGTTAATGAAGAGGCCTCTGGCTTCATGTTTTTAAGAAATGCATAGAGGGCTGGCCAGATGTGGTGGTTGATGCCTGTAATCCCAGCACTTTGGGAGGCTGGGGTGGGAGGATTGCTTGAGTCCAGGAGTTTGAGATCAGCAACATAGTGAGACCCCATCTCTATTTAAAGATAAATATTTTTAAAAACAACACAAAAAGGATTATTGATTATAGAGATAAGAAACAAGGACTAGTTACATTACTCTACACTATAAATGCTCTCCTGGGCTTTGGAAACTGTTTTGTTCACTGTTTGTCTTCCCTTTCTTAATTTTTCCTTGTTTTTGGATTTTCCATGATCTTTTCTCTCATTTCCTCCCAGCCTTGACAGTGCTGCTTTTCTCTCTGTGTTGGTATTCCTCCTCCACTACCATTATGTAGCAGGAGGAGTGTTCCCAGTATGTAAGGGAATTTCTGGAACAAATTGTTGACAACAGCTGCTACACATTTTACCAGAAAGGCCAGCAGGGTGTGCTCCTCAGGAAAACTTAGAAAATATGTAGGCTAAGAACTCACCTGAACTGAAATGAAAATCCAGGTTTAACATTGCTGTTCAAGTGTATTATTGAATAAATGCCTATTCAGACAATAGCTATTCACTGCAAAATGTGTAAAGTTTAAATAGCCTTCCTTAGGTAGGTGTCAGTACAGTGGTTATATGTCAGTTTACTATGATAATTATGAGCATTATTATTACTCTGTGCATTTGGCTATTTGACTAGGAAATGGTAAGCTTCTAACCCCTTGTAAGTCCCATTAGTATTTTGTGAGACTTTTTTTTTTTTGAGACAGAATTTTGCTCTGTTTCCCAGGCTGGAGTGCAGTGGTGCAATCTTGGCTCACTGCAACCTCCGCCTCCCACCTCTGCCTCCCAAGTTCCAGCAGTTCTCCCACCTTAGCCTCCTGAGTAATTGGGATTACAGGTGCACGCCACCATGCCCAGATAATTTTTTGGGTTTTTTTGAGACGGACTCTGGCTCTGCCCAGGCTGGAGTGCAGTGGTGTGATCTCAGCTCACTGCAACCTCCGCCTCCTGGGTTCAAGCAATTCTCCTGCCTCAGCCTCCTGAGTAGCGGGACTACAGGCACATGCCACCACGCCTGGCTAATTTTTGTATTTTTATTAGAGACAGGATTTCACCATATTGGCCAGGCTGGTCTCAAGCTCCTGACCTTGTGATCCGCCTGTCTTGGCCTCCCAAAGTGCTGGGATTACAGGCATGAGCCACTGCACCCAGCCAATTTTTTGTATTTTTAGTAGAGATGGGGTTTCGCCATGTTGGTCAGGCTGGTCTCAAGCTCCTGACCTCAAGTGATCCGCCCATCTCAGCCTCTCAAAGTGCTAAGATTACAGGCGTGAGCCATCGCGCCTGGCCCAAGACATATTTTTTGGTTGTAATTTATTTCAACATACTAACATGGAAAGAAACTTAATCACTAGTTTGGGGTACTCCTACATCCCATCTTCCAGAAAGGCAGGATGGTTCATTTTGCTGTAGGCTTTCTAGAATACTGTCCTAAAACGTAAGACTTCTCCCCATTGCCTTTTAGATGTTATTTCTTCACTCTTAAATTCCTCTCCTGTTATATACATCTTCTCATTGATGTTTATAGCTTTCAAATATAGTTTCATGTCAAACTTGGTCATCATACAGCCAAACAGTGCATTAGTGTGTTATTAATTGCTTGAAACACTCTCGTACATAAATCATTTTAGTGGTAGTTGTAGACGCAAAATTTCTCCTACTCACTTCAGAACGCTATTGCTTAAGTCTGAGTGCAGCAAGCTAGGTAAAGCCTGACAACAATTCCCTAGGAGCCCACTGTTGGTCCAGGATTCAGAAGCCCTCTGGCTATAGCTCTGAGCATACCAGACTTGGGCTGCTTTTGAGATACTGACATACACCAACTCTGTTAGCCATGGCTGTACCATAGACAACTTTTTTCCCTCTGGAAGCACGTTGTTGAAAGACATTTTTCAGTTATCCTTTTTTTGTTTGTTTGTTTGTTTTTTCTGTTCAAAGTCTCTATATATATGTAGTAGAATTACTTATCTGTTTCCCCTACCTGGATTAGCAATACTTTTAGAGCTGATCTAAGAGAGAATGCTGAATCACATTGAATTATGGTAGCCATGGGAGATTACTAAGCTTCTGCAATTTTGAAAATATTGCCACATAATATTGTTATTTTCTTATCCTAGCCACTCATCCATTGTATCTGATGGTGTTTATCTGAGACAACTAAATATTTTCACAAGTAAAATTTTCCAGAACACAGCAGATGTTTGTATATATCTAAATATATAATTTCTACTACATTTCTTATTTGTGTTAGAAAAAAATCAAGACCAACAAATACTGTGAATTTGAGTGAAACAACCATTGTGTCCAAAAACATATTGAATCTCCCATGCTTAGGACATCTTTTCAAATAACTTTGTCTTTACTCTCTACAGGCTGACACGTTAAAAGAGAGATATCAAAAAATTGGTGACACCAAAAGGAATACTCCCATTGAAGCTCTCTGTGAAAACTTTCCAGGTGGGATGCTAAAAAGACATTCCAGTCAGTGTGACTGAGCTTTGAAATAGGTAGAGTCCATGACTGGGTATCTCTAGATAAGGGTGCTGTTTAGGTAATTAACATTTCCTTTTGTGATACAGACCAAGGTAGGTTTTATCGCTTTTATTTTGTCTGTAAAGAAAACATCAGTATTAAATTATCTGTATAAATAACCCCTTTGTGGCCCAGTGCTTCCCCACAACCACTATGGAAAGCATTCAGCTAATGAGCAGGGCCTTTCATCTCTTTCCTGACAGAGGAGATGGCAACCTACCTTCGATATGTCAGGCGATTGGACTTCTTTGAAAAACCTGATTATGAGTATTTACGGACCCTCTTCACAGACCTCTTTGAAAAGAAAGGCTATACCTTTGACTATGCCTATGATTGGGTTGGGAGACCTATTGTAAGTATCCTTTTTTTTTTTTTACCTCATTACCTCCTTTCTCCAACCAGCACTGCCTCATGCCTTTACTTGTCAGTCTTCCTGCTTGAATCTTTAGTAAAAATATTCCTTTGATCGTAGACTGTATATTTACCAGCCTTGTCTGGGTGTTGCCATAGGTTGCTCTTACTAGTTCAGAAGTAGGAAGGAGTTATGTATTTTTTCCTAGTGATATAGGAAGATAATAACTTGCATGTCCTAAGATAACAGAATTTAAGCCCAGTTTTTAGGAGAAGTTTCATTTGAATGATTCAGACGTTGTTTTGTTTTTTTTGTTTTGTTTTGTTTTGTTTTTCAGAGAGTCTCTCTGCACCCAGGCTGGAGTGCAATGGCGCCAATCTCGGCTCAGTGCAACCTCTGCCTCCTGGGTTCAAGAGATTCCCCTGCCTCAGCCTCTCAAGTAGCTGGGATTGTAGGCATGTACCACCACACCTGGGTAATTTTTATATTTTTAGCAGAGACAGGGTTTTGCCATGTTGGCCAGGCTGATCTCAAACTCCTGACCTGAGGTGATCTGCCCGCCTCGGCCTCCAAAAGTGCTGGGATTACAGGCATGAGCCACCATGCCCGGCGCCATGATTCAGAAGTTGATGCCACATACGTTGTTAATGTACTTGACCTTTGTAGGAGTGGAACCCAGCATCATAGGAAGCTTTTGAATTTGTTGTTCTGGTCAGGGGTTCACAGGGCCACACAGATACCACTGGAGGAATTTTTTTTTTTTTTTCCGGAGTTTCACTCTTGTTGCCCAAGCTGGAGTGCAATGGCGTGAACTCGGCTCACCACAACCTCCGCCTCCCGGGTTCAAGTGATTCTCCTGCCTCAGCGTCCCGAGTAGCTGGGATTACAGGCACGTGCTGCCACACCTGACTAATTTTGTATTTTTAGTAGAGATGGGGTTTCTCCACGTTGGTCAGGCTGGTCTCGAACTTCTGACCTCTCAGGTGATCCACTCACCTTGGCCTCCCAAAGTGCTGGGATTACAGGCGTGAGCCACCGCACCCAACCCTGGTTTTTTATTTTCGAAGGTAAGCTACTCTCCAATGAACTATTGAGAACCAGGCTGCCTCCCTTTTGCAGATGAGCAAACTGAGAAGACAAGACAACTTGAAAGTGCTCTTGGTAGCTGAAAATAATTACTACTACTCTATTAGAATTAGAATTATTCTGTCCTTTGCATATGCATCAAGTTGGACCTCTTTCCCCCATTTGACTTTTTGTTTCATTTTTCCAGCCTACTCCAGTAGGGTCAGTTCACGTAGATTCTGGTGCATCTGCAATAACTCGAGAAAGCCACACACACAGGGATCGGCCATCACAACAGCAGCCTCTTCGAAATCAGGTATGTGTTAATCTTTCATTCTTTCAGACACTCCACTTCTTCATGGTGAATATTAAAACCCAAATTCTTCAGCTTCTCTGCTTTAGTGTATATACTGAAAATAAAGATCAAATGCTTACCATTTCTTACAGGTGTGGTATGACTCTCAAGCAACCCTCAGGGCATGTATAGTTGCACTGGAATGTGGCCAGGTGCCTTATATGAAGTATCCAGTCTAAAGAGTAGGCCTGGCCAAGTGCAGTGGCTCATGCCTGTAATCCCAGCACTTTGGGAGGCCAAGGCAGGTAGATCACTTGAGTCGGGAGTTCAAGACCAGCCTGGGCAACATGGCGAAACCCTGTCTCTACATAAAATACAAAAAATTAGTTGGGCATGGTGGCACATGCCTATAGTCCCAGCTACTTTGGAGGCTGAGGTGGAAGAATCACCTGAGTCCAGGAAGTCGAGGCAGCAGTGAGCCAAGATTGCTTGTGCCTTTGCATTCCAGCCTGGGTGGACCCTGTCTCAAAAAAAAACAAAAGAGTGTTGGCCTGTCAGAATCTGTTGGCAGTAGGGGGAACTAGCTATATGTTAGGATCTGAGGCATCTACCATAGGACCAAAAGACCTGTTGGAGGCTACTCTGGGGACACAGTGCCTGTGGAGTAGCCCTGCTCACCAAGGAACAGTTTAAAAAAAAAAAAAAAAAAAAGACCTGTTGGACAGACAGGATGTACCAGGTAGCCCACTTTGGGTCTCATCTGTAGTCTAGTCTAGAGCTCTTGCCAGTTCTGGTTTTTCCTTGCTGATTAAGAGGGGTAGATAAGGCCCGGTGCGGTGGCTCACGCCTATAATCCCAGCACTGGGAGGCCAAGGCGGGCAGATCACAAAGTCAGGAGATCGAGACCATCTTGACTAACACGGTGAAACCCCATCTCTACTAAAAAATACAAAAAAACATTAGCTGGGCGTGGTGGTGGGCGCCTGTAGTCCCAGCTACTCGGGAGGCTAAGGCAGGAGAACCTGTAGTCCCAGCTATTCAGGAAGCTGAGGCAGGAGAATGGTATGAACCCAGGAGGCGGAGCTTGCAGTGAGCCGAGATCGCGCCACTGCACTCCAGCCTGGGCGACAGAGTGAGACTCTGTCTCAAAAAAAAAAAAAAAAAAAAGAGTGGTAGGTAATTTGGACTTCCAACTGACTTGGGCATGAAATGGAACCTCCACACCACCCCTTGTTCTTCTACCCGGGAAAATTATAGAGCTGGTCAAGATTTAAAATGGACCTGCAGTGAAGATTCAGATTAGGTCATGTCATCTGTCCTTCAGTGTTCATTGTTTGGAAAACTAGTGGTCTAAATGAGGGACATCTCTCAGCCTAAAGACAGATGAGGCAAACACACCAAAAAATCAACAAATTTGACATTTTAAAAAAGGGCTTATGTGTTTGGGAAGTAAACATGACATAGGATTTTATCCTTATATTAAATATATTGCTAAGAGAAAAACAGAGACCACAGTAGGTAAGTAAACAAAGCATAATAAACAGATTATGTATTTTTAAAATAATTATCACACATCAAATTAGCTTATTTCCTCTCCTTATGACCTCACTTTTTTGTATTAACATTTTTACAAGAAAATACAAAAACATTTGTTTCATAGATGCACATGTGCAAGTATATACGTTAAGAATAGTGTATACAAACACGCACACACACATGTCCAGTGGTGTACACCCACAAATATATTTTCTCACCAGTAAGTATATACTCTTGGCAAAATGTGTGGTTTGGTGGGTAAGAAAAAAGTATGTGAAAGAAGGAAAGCCATGTACTAGAGAGTAAATATAAAGGAGAAGATAGGTAGGCAAAAAAGAAAAGATTTAGCAAACTCTGGGCACTAATTGGGTCCATAGTCACATCCTTTAATTAAAGTTGTTGTTTAAGACTTATAATTTGACTGACTTCTGGTTTGACAACAAAAGACAATGTTGACTTCTGCAGTTCTCTCCCATCCCTCCCTTTTTAAAAGCTAATAGCTAGTGCGGGTGAGGGCACAGTTAAACTGACATATTGCTGTTGATTTTACAAATTGATACAAATTCTCTAGAAAACAATTTCTTCTTTTTTTCTTTTTATTTTTCTTTCTTTCTTCTTCTTCTTTTTTTTTTTTTTTTTTTTTTTTTTTGAGACAGCGTCTTACTCTGTCACCCAGGCTGGAGTGCAGTGGTGCGATCTCAGCTCACTTCCACCTCTGTCTCCCAGATTCAAGTGATTCTCCTGCCTTAGCCTCCTGAGTAGCTGGGATTACAGGCACATACCACCATACCGGGCTAATTTTTGTATTTTTATTAGAGATGGTGTTTCGCCATGTTGGCCAGGCTGGTCTCGAACTCCTGACTTCAGGTGATCCACCTGCCTCGGCCTCCCAAAGTACTGGGATTACAGGCGTGAGCCACTTCACCTGGCTAGAAAGCAATTTGATCAAGTTATTTTCTTCTCTGATGAAATACCTTCTTGAAATCAATCAGTAAAACAACCCAAAGTATAGGTTATGTGCATAAAACTGTTGCATTGTCATTGGTAGCAAAGATACAGAAATGATCTGCCTATCCACTTATAAAGGCGTGGTTATAAATCTACTTCACATCCTTTATTGAATAAACTGGGTTATAGTATAAAGTGAGCTGGAGGGGTGGGGAAATAAGCAGGATCAATGGGAGGAGATCAAAATTATTAACAGAAATAGTGTTGGAAGTGTAGTAATATATTCTAAAATATTTTAAATGAAGTTTTATTACTCTATAATGAAAAATGCGGCCAGGCGCAGTGGCTCACACCTGTAATCCCAGCACTTTGGGAGGCCGAAGCAGGTGGATCACCTGAGGTCAGGAGTTCGAGACCAGCCTGGCCAACATGGTGAAACCCAGTCTCTACTAAAAATATAAAAATTAGCTGGGCGTGTTGGCACATGCCTCAAATCCCAGCTACTCAGGAGGCTGAGGCAGGAGAGTCACTTGAACCTGGGAGGCGGAGGCTGCAGTGAGCTGAGATGGTGCCATTACACTCTAGCCTGGGCACCATTGCACTCCAGCCTGGGCAACAAGAGAGAAACTCCATCTTTAAAAAAAAAAAAAAATGCATTTAAGTAGAAAATGTATGTAAAGAAAAAATAGATAAGTAGTTTGATAACAAAATCAACATATACCTTTTTTCTTTATTTGCTTTTTTTTTTTTTTGAGACAGTTTCACTCTTATCACCTAGGCTTGGAGTATGATCTTGGCTCACTGCAACCTCTGCCTCCTGAGTTCAAGTGATTCTTCTGCTCCAGCTTCCTGAGTAGCTGGGATTACAGGTGCCTGCCATCACACCTGGCTAATTTTTGTATTTTTAGTGGAGATGGGGTTTCACCATGTTGGCCAGGCTAGTCTGGAACTCCTGACCTCAGATGATCCACCTTCCTCAGCCTCACAAAGTGCTGCGATTACAAGCATGAACCACCATGCCCGGCCCCTTGTGCCTATTTTTTAGAATATTTTTTATTTTTTAAGATTCTTTTTCACCTCCATTCTCTCAGAATGTGATATAATTTTTTTAAAATTTTTATTTATTTATTTATTTTGAGATGGAGTCTTGCTCTGTCACCCAGGGTGGCATGCAGTGGCACGATCTTGGCTCACTGCAACCTCCACCTCCCAGGTTCAAGCAATTCTTCCACCTCAGCCTCCCGAGTAGCTGGGACTAAGCACACGCCACCACACCTGGCTAGTGTTTCGTATTTTAGTAGAGATGGGGTTTCATCACGTTGCCCAGGCTGGTGACGAACTCCTGAGCTCAGGTAATCCGCCCGCCTCGGCCTCCCAAAATGCTGGGATTACAGGCATGAGCCACTGCGCCCATCCTAGAATATCTTTTTTTTTTTTTTTTTTTTTGAGATGGAGTCTGGCTGTCTCCCAGGCTGGAGTGCAGTGGCTCAATCTTGGCTCACTGCAAGCTCAGCCTCCTGGGTTCACACCATTCTCCAGCCTCAGTCTCCTGGGATTACAGGCACCTGTCACCATGCCCGGCTAATTTTTTGTATTTTTAGTAGAGACAGGGTTTCACCGTGTTAGCCAGTAGTGTTTCGATCTCCTGACCTCGCGATCCGCCTGCCTCGGCCTCCCAAAGTGCTGGGATTACAAGCGTGAGCCACCGCACCCGGCCCAGAATATCTTAAAATATGTGTTTCCTTTACTTTCCTGCTTCAGTGAATTTATAACCAATGCTGTGGTTTTGCATGGATTTTTAAAGTATGAAAAAAAGAGATGATTGAAAACTTCGGTTGTCAGGGTAAAAACTGACTAGTGAATTTCAATGTACTTTTAAATGAAAAGTCTCTGGCCACCGTATATAATTATTTAGGAAAATCTCATCTTTATTTAACTAATATGCTTATTTTTGAAAAGTTGAATCTTGAATATCTCTCTTTGATATATATATTTTTTCTCTTTTTCTTTTCTTTTTCTTTTCTTTTTTGAGAAAGGATTTCACTCTGTTGCCCAGGCTGGAGTACAGTAGCGCAATCACAGCTTACTGCAGCCTCACCTTCCTGGGCTAAAGGGATCCTTCCACCTTAGCCTCGTGAGTAGCTGGGACTACAGGCACACGCCACCACACCCAGCTATTTTTTTTTTTTTTCGTGTTTTCTGTAGAGACAGTTTCACTGTGTTTCCCAGGCTGTTCTCAAATTCCTGGGTTTAAGCAATCTGCCCACCTCTGCCTCCCAAAATGCTGGGAGCCACCATGCCTGGCCCAATTTTTTTAATTTTAGAGTTTTTAGTATCCTATGACCGCTAAGAGATTGGAATTCCTCCACATTCATGTAAATGTTATACCTCCTTCCCACCAGGATTCCGAATCCTTGTTGGGTAAAATTCTTTCTGCACTGTGGATAATGGATTTCTAGTGTTGCTTCAACCTTTACAGCATCTAGGTCTGTGTTAATATTACATTTCTTCCATCTTTAGGGTTGTTTTCTTATGCT